ATAATGCTTATTATTAAAAAACAAAACAAATTGTAAACTCCCATGTCCATTATGATCTTCAAGGAGCTGTGTGTACGTACGTTTATGTATTTATATGAGCATTCTGTGTATATGTATGTGTGTGTTCTCCATATGTGCAGTGAAAAGGTCTTTTGTCCCTTGCCCTCCCCAACCTGGCCTACATTACATGCATTTTCACTCAAAGTATACAAGTGTTTTTATAGGACAAAGTAGCAACATAAAACTTTACAACCATGAATATTTCATATCAAACAACACAACATGACAAGAACAAATATCATTAACATTTCACTACATAGCCTACATTAAAACACTGACAAAATTATGCAAATTTGTCCTAAAACCATTAAAAGAAGAAATGGTTCTTTCCTTTCAAATTCTATCCTTGTATGATGCCCACAATAAATCAGCTTATTGTAAGTAGTAATTTACACTGCAAAATGAACTTATATTGTTAAATATGAAGCCAGCAAACCAATTTGTGCTTTATAAATAAAGATGCAGCAATGAAACCGCCTGTGTACAGTTTATAATGATGAGTTAAACCTGTAGCATATCCATAAATAAATAATAACACAGCTAATAAACAAGCATCAGTAATGAATAAGCAGTATAAAATATCACAAATTCCTTGTTGCTGAGAGTTATTTAAAAAAAAATGAAACCTCTGTGTCTGTACTATCAATATGGGGTTTAAGCAGCAAAATGTCATCTCTAGAATACTACGTATTAAAGGTGGGCAAAAAAAAGAGAGTTATGGACCATATCGAACCCATCAGGAGTCCATTAGATATCCTGGGTCTCTCTTTCTACTATTTGATGAAACGCTCAAAGCTTTGAGTATTGTGACTGATGTGCTCATGTCTCCCAACAGCAAAGCAATGCTGAAACTCAGACTGTGTGATCTAGATGTTCTGCACTGCTCTGCTGAGCTCTTTGTTTTGATAGACTGTCTGAGTCGGCCACCGAGGTGCTGATGATCAATGTCGACTCTCAGAGGTCACAGAGGTAAAGGAGATTCACTCTGTCTCTTCCTAGTTAATGAGGTGTAGTGCCTTAAACAGATCTGAGAGCAGTTCATCAAGTCTTGGGCTTTAAGGCTAAAAAAGAAAAGAAAAAACGAACAAAAGTATCATAGTAACATGGTATTCTTTGAGGTCCTTTTGAGTATCATCCAGCCTATAATATTAAAAATAACAGTTCCAAAAGGAGGCTTTCACCATGATGCCACAGATTTGAATAATTTTTTTATTATAAAGAATATTTTGTGCAATAGAAATGTTTAATGGTTGCCAATGTTTCATGATGCCATAAATAACCTTTATTTTTGGTACGTAGTATATTATACATAAAATACAGTGATTAATATTGTAAACATTCAGTACCAGAGTTAGAAACCCAGACCAAGGCCGAGACCCTTCAGGGTCCAGATCCAGACCAAGACTTGTTGGACAATTTCAATAGATGAAGAAATACAGTAGAACAAATGGACTTATTGCAGTGTTCATTTTCAGATACCCAGCAATAACTTTTTTTTGTTGTTGATGCTGTTGTTGTTGTTTTTTTGACTATGCATGCATCTGTGGTTTATGTTGGAATGTACTTGTGATCTGTGGTCACTGTTCTATTGTTTTGTTGTGTTAAATAATAATAATAATAATAATAATAAACAATTCCGTGGTATTTGCACAGCACCATGACCAAAACTAATAAGTGCCATATTTTTTTTGGAGCCACTGAAGTGTGGGAGATCTTAGAGTAAGACAGAAATATTTTAGTAAGCTAAACATAGAGATTGATGGAAAGCACAAAAGAGGGAAAAAGATGTGGTTTGTTCATCTGTGTTTGACATACATAGCAAGACAGGATGGTGTGACATGTCTGTGCTCTCATCAACTCATTCCTTCACAGCAGACATCTCTGACCCACATCAACCCAAAATCAAAATGAAAAGAACAGGGAGAATCGAAAACAAGCTTTTTAGTTCAAGAACATATGTAGCAGACTGTTGTACAACAAAAAGTTCATAGCAACAAATTAATGTTTATGATTGCTGTTGAAGATTTAGTCCCCCAAAAAGTATTTGGACACTTATGCCAAGTATAATATTGCATCAGATCAACTATGAAAACTAGAAGAAATTGTTGCGCTCTAAATTGACAAAAAAATCTTTTTGCGTGGAGCCAAAGAAATATGGAAAACGAACAAGAAGGTGGCTGGCCACACACTGGATTCAGTACAGACTGCAGAAGTCTATCAAAAAAAAAAAAAAAAACAGGAGTGTTTGAGCACATTGCTATCTTCAGTGCTCACTCTGCAACAAACCTTCACCCTTTTCTTGACAAATTAGCAATTAGGGGTCATCAGCTGAAATGAATTATCACAAGTACAACTCTATCACAGGTGGAGCTCCAAGAGAGTCTGATAATTGGCATGCATGACAAAATATTACAGGTATTCAATAGCAACAACAACAACAAAAGAAGAAGAGTAAACAATGCATAAAATCACAAATAATTCTTCATTCAGGGAATAAAGACTTAAGTTCAGAGATCCAGAAGGCCTCCCTTTGCAACAATTTCTAATCTTCTTTTTGTCCATTTCTTTGTGATTTTTGTCTTATATGCATTGTTTTTATACTTTTTTGGGGGGTAAAATGTCTATTAAGCTCATTATGTCTGCATTTATTTGATCAAAAAATAGTAAAACAGTAATATTGTGAATCATTGTTACCATTTAAAAGAACAAATCTTAATTATTGATTATATTATTATTTAATATAATTAATTATAATTATATTTTAATATATTTTACATATAGTTAAATATATTATATTTTAATTTGTTCCTGTGAATTTTCACTCAATTCTTCTGTCTCATGATCTTTCAAAAACCATTCTAATGCTGATTTGGTGCTCGAGACCCATTTCTTTTTATGATCAGTGTTGAAAACAGTTGTGCTGCTTAAAATTTTTGTAGAAACATGCATCATTTTTTTAGGATTCTTTCATGAACAGAAAGCTCGAAAGCATTTATTTGAAATCGAATTGTAATGATTTCTTTCTTTCTTTCTCAAAACATTTTCTCTTTATTTTTTCAATCAATTTAGCTGTTGTTTTTGTGAGTAGTGTGCTTGTGATATTTTCCCTTTTTTTTTTTTTATATCACTTGGTTTTTATATTTTGTTATTTAATACAACGATATTTATATCTAAGTGTGACATAATTAGCCAAACATCATTAATTTTGGGCCAACTGTTATGTCCATAGGGCATCAGACTGCTTGCACTACCTCGTATTTCCACCGTGCGACAGTATCTTCTTCTAGTAGTAATTCCTCAAGATGACAGGGAGTCTTGCACCTCTAGGTGGCGTCATAGCGTTAGAATTTAAGATTATCTGCTATTTCCCATGTCCACACAGAGAATGTGGACGTGCAGAGCAGACCTTGTTGTGTAGATAAAAGATAACAATTCTGGCTGAAGGACACTGATTCACCACTGAGCTATCCCAAGGACAGAAAGAAAGGAAATTAGATATAGCGAGAAAGAATGAGTTAGAGAGAGAGATGAATCTGGTGTTGTTGTGGTCCAGGGGAGAAAAACATACAAAAGTTAGACCCTTTCCCAGATATTTTGAACAAAGTGTGAGGCATTTAGAAGAGAACAAAAACTATTTGTATCAAAAACAGAAGTCCTTTACTGTATGTTCCTATTAAGATGACACATATTTATCGTTAGCAACCACTCAATAGAGATTAAGACACTTTTGGTGTTATTTTAAACTACTTTGTATGAAAAATATACTAGTAGGCCTACGTCTTCATGGTATCCTTGCTGTGGTTGACAGTTTTCATATTGAAGTAGCTTAGAATTAGTAAAATTATGCTTGTAAGAATACCATGTAGATGTATTAAAACTACCAAAAGCCTCTTTGATTCTAGAAACTGAAAGCTTGAAATGTAGTAAAATATATGCTTTCCTCACATTTTTTCATCTGCAAGGGAATGTGACATTAAAACTCCAAACCACTGATCTATAATTGATCTTATAATAATTTCAGAAAATTTCATATTCACAGATGTGAGATTCAGCCTCTTCATTCTGTGGGTTTTTTTTTTGTTGTTGAGAAGTTGGACATTTATAAAGCCACCAGCCAAGAGACTTAGTCTCAGAACTTCAAACAGATTCAATTATATATCTGCATCAAACAGAAATATAAACATGTATCATTAAACAAAACATTTCTACATTTCCAAAAGACGGCTAAATAGCCTACCTCTTCTTTTTTTGTTGTTGATATTTCAGGGTTGTGTCTTTATATTGAAGGTCCTCTTTCTAAATTTCACCCTTAGGTAGGACTAAATTTGCAATATCATGTGCACAACCATGATATTTGAACCAGAAAAACAAAATAGCTACTGTAAACGTGTGATATTCATAATTCTTTTGTCAAAACCATACATTTTATGTCTGACTGAGATGACAAATCACTGGATCAATGACAGTTAAAATAAAAATTAATTAATTAATTCCTTGAAGTAAACGTTAAATGCCAAATTGTATGTATTTTGTCCTACTCAGTGTTAACCATAATCATCATAAAAGTTATTATTTTTGTGATTATTATTAAAAACATTAGGCTACATAGCCTAACAATAGAAATGTTAATTTATGCACAGCTTAAAGTCTTTATAAAAAGGTAATATCTGATTATTAATAGACATAATAATAATAATAAGACTAAGAACATTATATTAAAAGCTATCATATAATTTTTTTTTTTTACTTTTACAATCGGTTTAATAATTTACTTTTATACTTGTGTTTTTATTTCCCGAATAACTTTGAAATTTTGTTCTGAGCAGCCTATATATTTCTGTCAAACAAAAACAAACCATTATCACCCTTATCCACAACAATGTATGGAATACCACAGAATTCCCATCTAGGGGCCGCTGTGTGGTGGGAGGAGCGGAAGTTGAGGAAGTCGTGTATTAGATCGGGGGATGAAGAGCCCGTGTTTGTTCTAATCGTGCGCCGCAAGAGTTCAGGAAGCGTCAATAAAACCATCCAGATACTAAACACACAGTCCCTCGCGCGCACTTATCGGGACTGTGACACGTGCGCGGCTGGATCAGGACACTTTTGCATTATGCATTCGGACTGCAGGCTGCTGGGATGGACGCGTCGGTAATGGTGGGCAGAGGGACCGGAGGGGCTGCGGTCTTCATCCTGATCGTCTTCATCGTACTCCTCGGTGCCAGAAGCTCGCGGGCGCAGAAGGGTACGTGATCTTCCGATGGGGATTAAAGTTTTTATGAGTTGGTACTTCTCATAAACTGCTTCACCGCCTCTGGGTTTGGGACCGATTGTGGTTTCACAACAAACTCTCGGGGTGGTGTGGTGTATGGTACATGAAACTAAACTGTTAGTGGTATCTGAAAGGTTGTAGGTTCAAACCTAGGCTCGGTTCATGAATAATCACAATTGTGTGTTCGATCAAGACATACACTAATCCACACCAGAAACTAACCAAGACAGCAGGACTGAACCTGTAATAAATTCAATGGGTAAACACTTCAGGTAAATAACGGAGTTTGTGCTGTATAAGTACGTGCGCGTACATTCTAGCATTCTTAAATTGTTGCTGTGCTACAGCTGGAGCAACAGAAGAACGTGATGACGCAACGCCTGACATGGGCCGCGCGCTCGCTGCCCTCGCAGCTTTCCCAAATAGGTAGTGAGTTCATGTGCTGTCCAGTGTCAAGCTGCTGCATTTAACAGCAGTATGTGTTTTTTTTAACAGATTCAGTCCTTCTCATGTAATCTGAAGTTAACTCAGTAAGTTTTTGCCAATTCGTTTTACACATACAAAAACAGTACTTTTGCAAAATATCATAAAAATATGCACACTCACAAAAGTTGAAGACTACAGATATATCAGTCCTCTAGGTAAAGATGTTTGATTCTACATGGAGCGAGTTGCCCCCTCATGGATGCCACCATTTTGATTCACCAAGACTGTTACCAGATTTTTTTTTTATTCTCCAACCCCCCCCCCCAAAAAGCCATTAAAAGGTAGAGTAGGTAATTTTCGGAGAAGCTAGCAATAGTGAGCTAGCTTTGAAAGCATAAGATCCCACCCTCCCTTCATAGCGCTCTACAAAGCCACGCCTCTTTCAAAACACATGAGCGCGTACAGCAGGGAGCAAACCAAAGCGCCACGAGAGACGGCATTTAACTACCTCATGTTTCAAAGCACATCACATTACAATAATAATAAACATAACTCAAAGAGCACTGACCTGTACCACCTGACAGCTGCAGATTCATTTCAGTGTTGATTGCCATTGAAACGCAGAATTTCGAGTCACGATTCGCTCTTGAGTATAACAGGTCACGGGTTTCCATCTCTTCCCTATTACAGTAGTTATGGCTTGAACGCAGCACAGCATAAGCTCGTTGTTTTAGTTCAGGAGGAACTGCTGCTGTTTCGGTTGCGATGCTCAGTGATTGACGTCTGTCTAGCATGAAACGCGCTGATGATGATGTGAGATGTGTGCGCGAGCAGGGTGCGCAGAGGTATAAAAATGCATACGCTGACAAGCAGGAAAGGCATCAGCTGCATCTGAAATTGCATACTTCCCTACTATATAGTAGGCAAAAAACAGTATGTGACAAAAGAAGTATGTCTGAATTCACAGTACCAATGAAAGAGTTGGCAAAAAGTATCCGGATGACCCACTTGCCATGAGGCCACTGGAGAGGATTTATGAATGGCAGTGAAGCGATGTAACTGATGCTGGTAGGTCACATGATAAGGGCAACATGGCGAATGTAGTAGGTCCGAATTACATTCATCACACACATTCGTACTGTATAGAACATACTTTTTAGCGGTCGTGAAGTAATTACTTATTCAAAATAAGTGCCTATTCAAGAGAGTATGCGATTTTGGACATTGTAATGTATTGCATATGTATTGCAATGATCAGACAAACATTTTATGGTCTTACGCCTTCCACAGACGAGATATATACACATACATTTAGACCACTTAACTTAGTGATTGCTATCAGGATGTGAAGAGACTTTCAACCAGCATAACAAAAAATGTTTCTGGAACAAATCGGCTACCATGCCTTTAATATTGTTATATATTATCACAAAAGGTCAAAGTTTGTTAAATAAACTGTTTAAGTTTTCCTGGGGAAAACGATAGAAATGTTCAATTGCTTTTTTGTAGCGAAGACTCCATTTCTTAGACTGTTTTCTGAAATAGCTGTTTGTCTTCACTGTCACATGATCCTTCAGAAATCATTCTGCTGATTTGTTGCTCAAGAAGCATATTTTATTAGTATCAATGTTGAAACAGTTCTGCTGCTTAGCCTAATATTTTTGTAGAAACCGTGATACATTTTTATCAGGATTCTGTGACGAATAGGACGTTATAGGACGATATCTTTTGTAACACTAAATATATTTACTGTCACTTTGATCAATTTAATGCATCCTTGCTGAATAAAAGTATTAATGAAAAATTTTCAGTGAAACATGTGACAACTAGCCCCATTTTCTCATACTGACTGTTATCTGTGGGTGTGGAGGGGGCTGTTGTTTTTGCTCCAGGGGTCTGAATATTGTCCAGCAAGGATTACGTAACAAGAGCGCAAGCTGAGTTTCATTCGGTGTGTAAACGCGTGACAGGCGGCGCAAGCAGCTGCAATGCAATGCGATCTCATCTCTCTGTCTCTCTCTTTCTCCTCTCTAGAGATTCAACAAGGAGCTCTTTTGCACAATTTCCAAGCTAAATATTTCACCAAATGAAGTTTAAGTTCTAAGTGACAAAAAAAAAATATCTGTACTTCTTAATTAAGACTTTCTGTTTGTCAAATGGTATTCTTTGAATTACCTTGGAATAACATTTTAAGATCACGGTGCATGATGTATATATATATAAAAGTACCTTTGAATTTGAGCTCTGCAGGGTGCTTGATCATTTCTGGATGTTTTTCAGGGGACGGGTGTGGACACACTGTGTTGGGTGTGGGCAGTGGGAGCCTGGCGTCATTGGGGTACCCTCTGTCCTATCCCTCGCACTCTGTGTGTGAGTGGGAAATCAGCGTGACCGCTGGACACACGGTCCTTGTGCACATTGCGGATCTTGATATCGATACAAACAACTGCCAGGTCTCTTACCTGCGACTTTATAATGGCATCGGACCAGGACGAACGGAAATTGGTGAGAAACGCTTATGGACTTGATGAGCATTTGTTGTTGTTGTGTTTTCCTGGTCCTCAGTCCCATTTGTACTTCCAATACAAATGGAGAGAGAAGGTTAAAAAGTTACTTTTCTTTTCAAAACTTTTGTGATCCACAGGCCTGTTTACACCTGGTAATAATAACATTTGTTGCCAAAAAATGGCCAGAAACTGATGTTAAAGTCACCGTGAAATCAAAATTGACAATTATTATTTTTTAATGGAAAACTGCAATGTTTGTTAATAATGTTTTATCTGTGCACAATACATTATATATCAAAATGCATGTGCTCTTATAATCTTTAAGCAAAAATATTAACTCACACCCACGAGATCGCATCAATTAGCAAGCAACAATGATCCAATCGATTCCCACTGGATAAAATCAAGTCCTGCCATACAGTTTTTCTTGTTCAAGAAGCAGTTTCATTCTAATATACAGATCAGAATATGGTAGAAAAGATGTTTGCAATTTCCTTTTCATATCAACTTTAAAAATGGGTGTAAACAGGGTCTTGGTAATAGCAACAAAAATGCCCACTAATGTACAGATTGTTGCCAAGTAAATGGAAATTGAGTATTATTCTCATTTCTGTCTCTGCAGTGAAGTTTTGTGGAGGGAGAGAATGGAGAGATGCTGTCATAGAGTCGAAAGGGCATCAGGTCACAGTTCAGTTCATGAGTGGACCACACAACAACGGCCGTGGCATCTTCCTCTCATACACCAGTAGTCAGCACACAGGTAACCATTCTGGAACAGATTTTTTTATATATTTATTGATAGTCTTCACCTCTTTCAAAGCTTGTGGAAGTGGTGGTACGGTACATCAAAATGATGGTTCGGTACGTACCCAGGTTTGATATGCTATCAGCACAGCAGGGGGGGGAAACAAACCCTGTTGTTTTTTGTTGTTTTGTTTTATTAAACATTACTTTACTGAACAAACTATGTCTTTCTTTATAATAAAAAAAGTCAGTCAATATTCCTGGAACTTTCAGCAACATACACTGCAGTTTATGGTGCTGTTGTAATTGGGGAAGAGATTGCAAGAAGTGCATACTCTTTTAGGTGCAAAATGTGTTAGCAAAATATTTTAGAATAAGATTAGTATTATTGCCTTTCTATTTCGGCAATTGTTCATTACAGTCTTCAGTGTCACATGATCCTTCAGAAATCATTCTAATATGCTGATTTGGTGCTCAGGAAACATGTCTTATTATCAATGTTGAAAAATAGTTGTGCTGCTTAATATTTTTGTGGAAACAGTGAATTTTTTTTCAGGATTCTTTATAGGAAGTTCAAAAGTCACTGTTGATCAATTTGATGTGTCCTTGCTGAAGAAAAAACAATTTCTTAAGAAGAAAAAACAATTTCTTAAAGAAAACAACTTTTTAAAGGGTAGTGTATGTGTGCAAGATTGTGATTTGTATGAATTAGTGTTGTTGAAGTAGGCTTGGATGTCTCGGGACACACAAAAGAGCTGCTATGGAAACTTTGTGTGTGTGTTTGTACGTCCAGATGAGAGTGAGGGACATCATGCGAAACTGATTATTTCAGGAGTATGTTTCTGACTCTCAGGGTGTTAGGGTTTTTCCTGGTTCCAGGGTGCGTCCTGAGAGCTTATGAATGACAGGCGGTTCATTTAACAGATGCGTCAATAATTTAAAGTCATTCAGGAAATGATGTAATGGCCGTTGGTTCTTATGTCATACCGTGCAAAGATGGCTCAGAGATGGAAATGCATTCCAAGCAACTAGATTTTTTCCACTTTCTTACAAATGTGAACACTTTCCTGTGCGAAAGTGGATGCCATGCTGTTAGGGTGTTGTGGGCGGTTGCCAGGTGGTTGCTTACTTGCCAACTCCTGAGTTCCCTCAACTCCGGGTCCCTCCTTCAATGGCTTTAGGATTTTTCTTCTTTACATCAGGTGGAAATCATAAGTCGGATTGCTTAGAAAGTCAAGCCAGGTCAAGGTCTCAAAGTTCAATTTCTGGGATCAGTAATAGCAGTTCTAAGTAATAGCACACCTAGGTTAAATACGCTGATCGTTGATTGAAGAAAAATAGCATCCATGTCTGTAGCATAAACAGATTGGACTTCTCTAAATACTAAACTTAGACATCAAAGTATACTTCAGTTTTAATGTGAATGCTTAGCGTATACATACAGCATACATAAGTTGCGTTCACGGCATGTTGAAATTACCACAGTTATGAGATTCCGACTCGATATTGTAAGAAGCGTTCGCATCTTTGTTGAACGCTTCCTTGTTATATTGTGGTTGTGTCTATTGATTACTACAATCGATTCATTTTGGTGTTAATAATGTTTCCATAGAAACGCATAATTCAGAGTCTGAGCAATACTTTGCCGAGTCAGTCTCCAATAATTAGTTGTCGTCTCCTCTGTTTCTTTTTTGATGGTGAAACAGTAGGCCGGGTCTATTGTGTGTTAGTACTAATTAGTCCAAAAAAAAAACATTCAAGGAACATATGTGAGAAAAATCTGCCTGTGTGTACATCACATGCTAATAATGAAATTTTAGTCACATGCACTGTACACATACTAGTGTATACTTTAGGCTTTAAATTATACACTCACCGGCCACTTTATTAGGTACCCCATGCTAGTAACGGGTTGGACCCCCTTTTGCCTTCAGAACTGCCTCAATTCTTCGTGGCATAGATTCAACAAGGTGCTGGAAGCATTCCTCAGGGAGTTTGGTCCATATTGACATGATGGCATCACACAGTTGCCGCAGATTTGTCGGCTGCACATCCATGATGCGAATCTCCCGTTCCACCACATCCCAAAGATGCTCTATTGGGTTAAGATCTGGTGACTGTGGAGGCCATTTTAGTACAGTGAACTCATTGTCATGTTCAAGAAACCAATTTGAAATGATTAGAGCTTTGTGACATGGTGGAAGTAGCCATCAGAGGATGGGTACATGGTGGCCATAAAGGGATGGACATGGTCAGAAACAATGCTCAGGTAGGCCGTGGCATTTAAACGATGCCCAATTGGCACTAAGGGGCCTAAAGTGTGCCAGGAAAACATCCCCCACACCATTACACCACCACCACCAGCCTGCACAGTGGTAACAAGGCATGATGGTTCCATGTTCTCATTCTGTTTACGCCAAATTCTGACTCTAACATCTGAATGTCTCAACAGAAATCGAGACTCATCAGACCAGGCAACATTTTTCCAGTCTTCAACTGTTCAATTTTGGTGAGCTCTTGCAAATTGTAGCCTCTTTTTCCTATTTGTAGTGGAGATGAGTGGTACCCGGTGGAGTCTTCTGCTGTTGTAGTCCATCCGCCTCAAGGTTGTGCGTGTTGTGGCTTCACAAATGCTTTGCTGCATACCTCGGTTGTAACGAGTGGTTATTTCAGTCACTGTTGCCCTTCTATCAGCTCGAACCAGTCTGGCCATTCTCCTCTGACCTCTGGCATCAACAAGGCATTTCCGCCCACAGAACTGCCGCTCACTGGATGTTTTTTCTTTTTCGGACCATTCTCTGTAAACCCTAGAGATGGTTGTGCGTGAAAATCCCAGTAGATTAGCAGTTTCTGAAATACTCAGACCAGCCCTTCTGGCACCAACAATCATGCCACGTTCAAAGTCACTCAAATCACCTTTCTTCCCCATACTGATGCTTGGTTTGAACTGCAGGAGATTGTCTTGACCATGTCTACATGCCTAAATGCACTGAGTTGCCGCCATGTGATTGGCTGCTTAGAAATTAAGTGTTAACGAGCAGTTGGACAGGTGTACCTAATAAAGTGGCCGGTGAGTGTAGCTGTGTGCGTATGTACTATGTACACGTAAAAACCGGAGCAAACATTTGGATTTTTTCAATTAGTGATGTGATTAAACTCTAAGCATGAGAGAAAGTAGTGCTAGTTATTTTTGTAATAATGTCTAATGCTACAGGAAAGTTTCAGTTTGTGATTGTTGAAACTTCAGTGTAAGCACATTTGTGAAGGTGCTCTTTACAGCACGGCACATCCTGAGCCTCCAAATCTCTGGAATCACAGCTGTGCACTCGTGTTTGATGTGTCTTAACAATGACATTTGCACTTTGACCTCTGGGGCTGTCTGAGGTCAGGGGTTCACACTGCCATGTGGGAGCTACACCTGTTTACCGCAGTACTGAGAGTGTGTGTGTGTGTGCGAGAGATCATATTTCCCATGAGTCAGGAAAGAGACAGATGAATCCATGCTGTGGGTATGAGTAATGGGTACAATAACACCACAAAATACCTTGAACCTTAGATGCGCTCACACAGTCATACACAATTGTGGCAGGACATTTTGCACCACTCACTTTTTCTTCAGAAAAAGTAAAGGATGAAAATCTAGTTGGTCTTGATCTGTTCATTCAGATAGAGGCTTTTATCCACAAATATGAAACCTAATACACCAATCTGTTACACCACTTACTGAATGGCCAGTGTGCACTTAACACACACGCGCGCACCCACACAAAGAAAATATGCAGCCTTTTGTGTGTAAGGATGACATTAATCAATAGTCACCATGGCAACCATCTAATGTGCTGTTTTATAAAATGCGTCTCTCTTTTCTCATCTTTCAGACCTCATCACCTGTCTGGAGAAAGGAGAGCACTTCAGTGAAGCGGAGTTCAGGTACGCACATTTATAGCTGTCTGTGTGTTTGTGCATGTTCTTGCGTATGTGTGTCTCATTTTACCAACCTGCATTTGCAGTAAATTCTGTCCTGCTGGATGCCTGACTGATTTCGGAGAGGTTTCGGGAACCATACCACACGGATACAAAGACGTAAGTATGCCGCTATTGAGTGGATGTTGGATTAAAGGGTTAGTTCAGGCAGAAATGAAAATTCTGTCATCATTTACTCACCCTCATGTTGTTCCAAACCTGTATGACTTTCCTTCGTCTGTTGAACACAAAAGAAGACATTTTGAGGAATGTTGCTACCCAAATAGTTGATGGTAGCCATGGAATTCTACAGTCAATGGCTACTGTCAACTGTCTGGTTACCAACATTCTTCAAAATGTCTTCCTTTGTGATGAAAGAAACCCATAAAGGTTTGGAACAACATGAGGGTGAGTAAATGATGACAAATTTTTGGGGTGAACTATCCCTAAGCGCAAAGTATACTTCAGTTTTAACGTGACCATGAGCATACGCATACACCCAAACGTGCAGCCTTTCAAAGTTGATAGTGTGTGCCAACACAGGTGATCAACACATGCACACTAGTATAAGGATTCATCCTTGTCCAGTGTTTTTCTATTTCTCTCCAGAAGTTAAGAGTGATAAAAATGTCTTTCTTTGTACTCTACAGTTGTACTGTTGATTTGCGTGTATTATCCCCTCACTTTATCGCTAATCTTTTTTTGTTGCGGTCCTGGGTGGGTTGTAGCTCTTGTTGTTCCATCTGTTTCTTTTCTCTTTTTTTACTACTGTGAAACAGTGGCTGGGCCAGTGTTGCCAACTTGTGGACTAACTAATTAGGAATAATAATGTGTTACGCCTAAAGTATACTTCAGTTTTGACGCGAACGCTAAAAAATGTGTACAGCCGAACATGCAATCTTCAATAGCCGAACACTGCATTTGATAGTGTGCGCGAACACCAAGCGGCAACATTCTAATCTGAAAAATGAAGCCTACCCGGAAGTGCGAAAAACTGCAATACATCGAAGATCCGCTAGAGGGAGGTCCCAAAAGGGAGCAAATATCCATAGACCCCATGTTAAATGTTTTTTCAATTTTGCCGTTTTCACAGCATAAATCCATGTTTTTACAGGTTGGTCCCATGGACTTTTATTTTATTTTTCGATAGGTTCCGAGTGCCTGACAACCGTGAGGGGGGTGAATTATTTTCTAACTCGTTAGTTTAGATCGTATTTAGATATAAAATGTATGACAAATAAGGGCGTGGTTAACTTTGATTGACAGCTTGATTGACAGCTGATAACGGGCTGCGCCGAGTGGAATTCCTGAAATTTGACGTCTCGGCCATGATCTGACACAATACATCATACCACCTCTGTAGCCTTTCTGAACATTTGTATTGAAATATCGTACATAAAATGGGTTGCTATAAACTGCACTAACCGACACTGTAGGACTAGGAGTACTTCGCTCCATTTTTTCCGGTAAGAGACATTCCACTACTATTTCACGTAGTTAGTACTATTTAGCATCAATGTTTGTGGGCAGTGGCACTGCAACAGTTAGCATTAAATCGCCTCGGATAAGTAAGCGTCCGAGGTAGGGACAGGTGGGGTTTTGGGGGGCTAATACAATGCTAAATCATAAATCAGATGTACCTATGTACAATAACATACCGATGTCCAGCAATCGATTTAAATAGTACATTTTGTTTAATTTGTCGTTTAATGCGTCTGCCAAATGAATAAATGTAACATAAGAATAGACTGATATGTCCCACATTAGAGTGTTCTCGGTGTGCTTGGCTGAAGAGGCGCGTCCACTGGCCGGCTCAGTCTCACACAAAGCCCGCCCTTTTACCCATATATGGATTGGCCAGAAGGTGGGCGGGGTTAGGATTTCCCAAGATTTTCAAAAGATGGCGCCGCCCATACCCCCCATAAACGGCCTCAAAACCGTTATTCAGAAAGTCAATGGGTGACGTCAAAGACGCTTTGTCCATTTTTTTTTTTTTTTACAGTCTATGGCGAACACAGATGCTTGACACATGCACATTTGAAAGTTTTTATCTTTGCCCCGTGTCTGTGCTATTTCTCTCCAGAATGACCGTCTGACCAGAATGACCGTCTTAATTCTCCTCACACAAGCGTTTGTCAACTTGGTCGTCAATTGTTGTTGTGGTCTTGTGTAGTTTGTTGCTGTTGTTCCGTTCCCCCGTCCCCTAATTAGTGCAAAAATTCAGGCACAGATGCGAACTGAGCGTACAGGGTATGCACAGTTTGAAGAATCTGTCTGTGCACGTACAATACGAGCGTACTATGCTGATGATGAAATTCACGCCACATGCACTGTACGCATACCTAGCATACACTTAAAAACCGAAGCATACTTTGGGCTTTAATCACTCTTTTTCATGGGGGTCAAAGCTTTTAAGCCTCAAAAATGAAGTAAAAGCACCTTAAAGGCATCTTAAAGCAACACCAAGTAACTTTTCCTCTGCGGTCGCCCTACAGGTTGGAAGCGGAATTGTCCATTACTGTCCTAAATCATTTAGCCTACCGCAGCCTACTGTCGCACGCGCACGCACGTACATGCTCTCTGTTTATCCAGCACCGGCTTTGGAATCATGATGACAATTCAAAAGCTACCCGGCTGCTAGGTATCTTACATGTCTACTGTCGAGTACGCTCCACCTATCGGCAATTGTAACGCTTGCCATAAAGCAAGTCAAATTTGTAGTTTTCTTTTGTCTCATTCGGACTACAGAAACGCAACCCGATCTGGCAATCTTACATAGCTTGGATATATCAGATAAAGGACCGCAAAGCGGTGGCATAAGTGCATTTCACCATGTCACGACTTGATGAACCACTGAAACGATTTTGAAAACATTATTTTAAGGTAAAAAAATCTTACTTGGTGTTGCTTTAAAAGTGCTCCATTTGACTTATGCACTATATTCCAAGTCTTCTTAAGTTGTACCAGAAAACGACTGACATTTTAAGCCGCTATTCATTAGGGGTGTAACCAGGGGCGGACTGGCCATCTGGAGCACCGGGACTTTTCCCGGTGGGCCGCTGGCCAATCTGGGCCGGCCCGGTACACAAATATATATACAAAATATTTATAAAATGACGGAAATCATAATATTACATTTCTTTTCTATGAATGAGGGAATCGATCGCGCGGGCGCAGCCGACAAGGAGTGTGTTTCGTGTGCATGCATGTGAGTGTATCCCTCCCTGTTAATTAGTTAACTTTGGTCTACTCCATTGCGTATCTTGAAACACGCCCTCTTTCACGTCCTGGAAAGTGGAAACACACCAAGCCGCGCAGATGAAAGCCGACTCCCTCGCTTCTGTCGCGGGAAAAAAGCTGCACTTGAACCGACTTGAACACACCGAGAGAACTACAGCCGACTGACAGCTAGAATGCGCGTTCTGCTCCTGCGTGTGAATGAGACAACTGTCTATTTCTGCAGATATATCCATCTATATTCGACATTCAAAAAGAGAAACCGACGCTGCCCGCTGCAAATACACAAACCGTTAACAAAGCAGTGCGTGCTTAGTTAACATTACAGTTTTGAATATCAATCCTGCTAAACACTTTCTTTATTCCACTCCGCTCATGTTAATATTTAAATATTCGCCAAGGAACACTCGGGTATTATGACGTAACATTAAAACAGCCATGGATGAAAAGGGGAAGAAAAGAAAAGGTGGAGCTGAAAAGTTACGCGTTAAAAAAAGCATTAGAGATAGATGCTGTGAAATGCTTCAAATTAACAGATTATACATTTGGCGCGAAGAGTAGCAGTTCAGCAGGCTCTGACGGCTCTAGCTCCCCCTGACTAGCTGATATGCTGTCTTTATAGTTTTATATTAATAATGTTGTGTGTCTTAATGTTCTTCTGTTTGTTTCCCTTTGGTTTTACAAATATGACCTAATATATGTTGTGTTACTTAAAATAAATGTTTAAATAGCATTTGTTTTTGTATTGTGTTATATTTGTATGCTATAAGTGGTGTTAAAAAATATTCTGCACATTAATGGGCCAATGTGTTGTGATGTGGGATGTGGTGGGCTGCTGTGGGCCAGAAAGTCCAGGGCCACTTTTTGGTCTCAGTCCGCCCCTGGGTGTAACAATACATCGTGTCACAATATATCGCAATGCAAAAATGCAACAAAATGTATTGTGTATAGTTCACCCAAAGTGAAAATTACTGTGTGTGAAAAACAAGTTTACAGAGTTTTAGTGTCAGTACGACATTAAACTACTATGTATAATGTTGAATAATGCAATGGGGGAATCTCTTATGTTACCAGTAAAAAGTGGCCTACATTATTTTAAATATATCTAGTCAGTGAAAGAGTGCAACTTGTGCAAGCTTAAAATAATTCTGTTTTCAGCTCCAGAATCATGAATATTTGTATTCTGGTGTCACTAGCACCAAGTCCAAGCCTATTCATTTACAACCACAATGTAATACCAAATAAAAATGTTATGTTATCGCAATAATATTGTATCGTGAGTTCAGTATCGTGATATGTATCGAATCGTGACATGAGGGTTTTGTTACACCCCTACTACTATTCATTGATAATCTTGTTGATAATTGATAATTATCAACAAGATAATTCCAGTGAGCTCTCAATTTGAGAACCACTGTGACCAGATTGAGTCATTGAGTTCACTGAAAATATCTGACTCAGACACCACTCAGGGACACAAGAAGTGCGGGTGATCTTGCTTCTTCATTATATGGTTTGTTTATCCTCTTTAACTGTGGTAATTCAGTCATTGCTCTTTAAAGTAAAATATTCTCTTTGGATCCATGTTTGAAATGTTCCATCTGAATTCTTTACATTCTTCAGCAATGTTAATAAAAATTGTCCTTCATTCAATAAAGGAATGTGTATTAATGTGGTGCAAGAGAGAAGCTATTTCTTCAGTGAATTGCATCGTTTTAGAAAAGGTTGGTCATTGAAAACATTGGTAGCTGCAGAAAATGATCTTTCAGGCTCTTGAGGTTGCACAATTGCACAGATAAGCGATTCTATCATGTAATGTTTAACTATTTGTTTATACTTCAAAGCAATAGCATATTTTAAACACTTATTTAATTTAGCGTTTCTGCCTGCTTTCTTATCAGGCTTCCATTATAAGTGCATCGCCTATAAATGTTTTTACAAATTAAGTCAAAATTATTGTCGGTGGTAAGCAAAAGCATGCTGAAAATGCTTTCAGTTGTATTTAACTGCAGAATATTTCTAAGAGTGACCACACACTGTTTTATCTGTACATTAGGTCATTTCTGATGACCTCATCATTGCTTTAATGCTTCCTGCTTGCTTTAAACTGGATGATTTCACATGTGAATTTGTCAATTTGAACACAATAGGCAGTTGTCTTCTGAGAGTGTGTTTTTAAGCTTGAACGTGGTTGAGTTTGAGGGAAAGACAGAGCGAGAAGCAGGCGTTTTTTTGAAGTTGAGTCATTGTAAATGATTCTGTGTGTCACTTTCAGAGCGCTTGGTCTCCTAGGGGCGTGTTGGTATGCGCGTCTGTGTGTTTGGATGTATGTGCGCGTGTTTTTGTGTGTGTATGACAGCGTGTTTCTCAGGGAGATGTTAGATCAGGTTTGGCTGAATGGTTTTCTAATGCAGACCAGCTGACAACAGTCTTGTTTCTCAGCTCAGATACACCCTCAGAATTAGTGTGGGGCCCATATGACGCCTTGCGAACATGTGTGTGTGCCACGTTTTTTGTGGCCAGAGCAGTGTTTTATTTTGCCCAGAGGAAGTGGTGTATGTTTGCGGTGTCATTGTGTGTGGGTGTTGAGATTTTGTCTAGTGTTTGTGGTCTCATTGGTTTGGAGTCCCTACTCTGTGTGTGTGTATATATATATATATATATATATATATTATTTTTTTTTATTTTTTTTTTAACTAGCAATTTTACCATTATTCCAGTGCCGGGCAGCAAGTCGGCTCTGGCCATGTACACGCTGCAGATAGATGCAGTTGTCATTTCTCTTCTGAGTGCTTTAAGTCCTCCTGCTTATGAGTTTTGGAAGTCGTGATTTCACTATGATGTGTATTCAAGTGTCACCCTGAATGTAAGTGAAACATAAAACGCGCATCTGTGGATCAGATTGTTTAAAGGTGTTTATTAGGAGTGTTTTTCTTTCTGACAGGCTTATAAAACTGATTTAAATGCCTCTGATTCTATTGCTTTCACATGCACTACAGACATTTCAGCCTTAACTGAAGTGTGCAATCTTGATTTATTTGATTAATTGTGCATCTTTTGGACCCAGACAACTTATTAAGAAAGACATGAAGCTTTTAAAGCTCTAATTCAACTAAATTGAGGGAAGGATGCACATTAGGTGTGTAAATGATACTTACATTTTGTCCTTTATGTGCTGCCACAGCAGATGGCAAATGTGGTACATTTCCTGTCACCTCATAAGCTGCTAAATGAGTTGTATTTTCTGGCAAGCTTTATTGCTATTCTTCTTCAATAGTCCCCAAAATGCATGCAGAACAGCACTGTATAGTCAACATTCACAATTGAAACCTAATCCCAATACCAAGTTGCATCTGACATGATTCTTTAATGGACACAAACATATTTAGTTTTAGAATTCACAAAATCATGTCGACAACCAATTTTTTTTTAAACAACTCCACAAAGTAGATGAATTTTGAGAGCAGAAGAAAAGAAAATTGTCATCATTTATTCATCCTAATGTCATTCCAAACCTGTTTGACTAACTTTCTTCTGTGGAAACTTTCTTCTTTTTTGAAAAAGTCTATACAATAAGAATCAGTGGGGTCCAATCTTGGGGTTTGAACAGTTGAAACATTCTTCAAAACATCTTATTTTGTGTTTCACATGCAGAACAACATGAGGGTGAGTAAATGATGACACAATTTTAAGGTTTGTGTTGACTAATTGGTAAATTTTTGACAGCTGTAGTTTACTAAGAATTACAGGATAATAATATGTTTCTGGTCGCTAAGGTTAGTTTGTTGATCGGCCCAATTGAGGCATCCGATCAGCGAGTGAAGGTATTTGCGCGTTACTGTCTTTCCTCGTGGCAAAGTAATTTGATTAAAAAAATATTTTGTTTCATATGCATTTCCTCGTTATTTCATCTGACTCCATAAATGAAAAGGTTTTAATGATATCTGTGCATCATTAAATGTGAGCGAATGTTTGACTATTCTTTTTAACTCTTTACTGAAAATAATGTCAGAGTCAGTTAGAATCAAATGTAACAATTTATTATGTCAGGTAAATGTATCATGCCAATTTCATAATCAGTTCAAAGATGATAAATACAAAGCATCAAATGCTCAGAGATAAAGAGTAAAAGATGTAGGGTAAACCCGACATTTAGAAAATACATAATGCTGAAGTCTTGAGGTCCTTCAACATTATGGGCTGATCTGAGGTACAGAATCGCCACGAGCCGCCTTCAGCATCTCCCTAAATACTCAGACCAAGGCAGAAACCTCTTTTCAAATGTAAACATGAGTTCACACTGGGAATTTGCATTAATCACCGTCCCAGACTTACTGGGAACAGAAGTTGATTTACATGGGGGCACACCCACAGCAGTTAACAAGATACCTCGAAACTCTCCACACCTTATTGTTTCTGGTTTACTTCTGTGGGAATGAGACCTTTGTACTAGTCGTACTGAGACATTTCAAATGATACCAAACAATGTATAGTACTCTGATAATTGTTCACATTAAACCATATAGATTTTTGGGTGAATTCAGGTAGGGATGGGTGAAGGGAATGATGTGTAAATTGGGAGGTGATCAACTCAAGTGTGATCGTGTCTCGAATGGGGATGGTAATATAGCAAGAGAGTTCAAATGTTAATTTCCTTTGTTTTCTCAGAGAGTAGCCCTCTCTTCCAGTTTTTCCAGTCTTACACATGTTACTATGGTTTTCACAATGTCTGCAGTAACCCCGAGTTATATGAGCGACTCATTTATTCTGCACACAGCACACACTGAAAGATAATTTAATGAGTTTCTTTCCCGTAAATACACTACCAATCAAAAGTTTGGGGTTGGTAAGTGTAAAATATGTTTTAAAGAAATCTCTTATGCTCACCAAAGGCTGCATTTATTTGATCAAACAGTAAAAACAGTAATGTGAAATATTATTACAATTTAAATGTAAGTTTTTCCTGTGATGGAAAAACAGAATTTTAATACTCCATCCTTCAGAAATCATTCTAATATGCAAATGTTGCTGCCCAAGAAACATTATTATTATTATTATTATTATTATTATTATTGTCCACAGTTGTGGTGCTTAATATCTTTGTGGAAACTGCAATACATTTTTTTCCAGAATTCTTTGATGAATGGAAACGTCAAAAATACAGCATTTATTTGAAATGGGAAATCTTATGTAACATTATAAATGTCTTTACTGTCACTTTTGATCAATTTAATGCATCCTTGCTGAATAAAAGCATTCATTTCTTTCAAAAAAATCATACTGACCCCAAACCTTTGAGCAGCATTGTATACGCATTTGTCATTCCCCAAACTTTACAATGTGTATGTTGCTTGTGAGAACTCTGTGTAACTCAGTCTAAACTCTGGAAGAAGTTCCTCTTATGATTCATCCATCATTCTTTATCATAGTGGCATAAATGATACCACTGCAATTCTGCTTCAAGGATGTGACCTCATCATGCCAAGTCACAGCTTGTGGGTTTTAGGTGAGTGAATCAGTGTCAGCTGTCTTAATGTCTCACCGTCTCTTTCTGCAGTCTTCTCCACTCTGTCTGGCCGGTATTCATGCGGGTGTGGTCTCCAACACTCTGGGGGGGCAAATCAGTGTGGTCAGCAGCAAAGGCATCCCACACTATGAAAGCTCACTGGCTAACAATGTGACATCTGTGCCGTGAGTAACCCATTTGCATTCTTGCTTTCTTTCTTCATGGGAAAATCTATTTCATTTGATTACTGGGCTTGCAAGGCATTGCAGTTTTGAAATGTCTCTAAACTTTTTTCTTATTCGTTCTGCAAATTCATTCTGTTGAACTGCTTAATGCAGGGGTTCTGCATTAGGAAACATTATTATGAAAATATTAAGTTGTAATATATATATATATATATATATATATATATGTGTGTGTGTGTGTGTGTGTGTGCATACAGCATATTTGTAATATATATCGATTATGTTTTTTTTTTTTTTTTTTACAATTATGGAATTAGTCTAATTGCAAGTTTTATAACTAGTAAAAACCATCTGTCTTTCTTGAACTTGTACTTTCAAGTTGGAAAGCATTTTATGATTTTATGAAAGCTATAGTCATATATTGCACTCTTATTTTGCAAGAGCGTATAGAGGTGAATTAATGATCAAGTACTGTCATAAACATCAAAGCAGCACATGGATTCATCTTGGCTTTATGAATCGTTTGTTGCCATAGAAACAAATACTTTGATTCAGAGGACCCAAACTGCTCTAAATTGTAATTTGGTAATTATGGTATTTTCGACATGAACACAGCATAAGAGAACCGTGAACACAGCATAAGAGACAGCTTAACATTTGCATACTGGATGCACTTATTTGCAACCTTCTATAGCCGTCTACACTGCAAAAATCTTGTTTATTCTCATGTACAAATCTAGAAGCATGCTGTGTGCAAAACATCTCTGATGCAGCATTTCATTTAAACCGAATCGAAGCCCACAACCTAGACTTACTAAAGCGTTTTGCTGCCTTGCAAACACTGGTATTTCCTTCTGGAAATGCAAACCTAGTTTGATTCCTCTCTTTGGTTGAGTTTGTTACCATCTGTGTAATAAATTGATTGATTGGTTGACAGAATGATAGCCCTGTGTCAATCTATGTAATAAGTTGATTGATTGGTAGACAGAATGATAGCTCTGTGTCTTTCTCCCTCTTACAGTGGAAATCTCTCCCCCAGCCTTTTTACTTTCAAGACTAGCGGTGAGTGAATCAGTAATGTATCAAACTTTTTGTGTCTTCTCTATTTTTTGGATGTGCAGTACTTTCCAGAAACCAAAAAAAGTTTATATAACTTGATTTAATAAAGAAGTTTGTTCTTTATTCCTGTCACTTTTATAGAAATGGCCTACACCTTGATGATCTAATAATAGAAACTTTCATTTTCTCTCTCTGTAAGGTTGCTATGGCACTCTGGGTTTGGAGTCAGGGGTGGTCAGCGACTCTCAGATCACAGCCTCGTCGGAGTGGGAATGGGGCGGTCACGGAAAGGAGCCCACCGTCTGGGCCCCCACAGGGGCCCGCCTCAAAACACCGGGACGCCCGTGGGCAGCAGCCAACAGCGACACAAAAGAATGGATTCAAGTGGACCTGAAGAAAGAGAAAAAAATAACAGGTAGAGTTTGTGTATGAGAGAAAAGATCAGTGTTTTTATCTACTGTATGTCTTGATTGATCATTCAGTCGAATGTACTCCTCAGGTATTATGACCACTGGCTCCACCCTCCCAGAATATCAGTTTTACATTTCGTCCTATGAGGTGTTATATAGCCATAATGGACAGCAATGGAAACCCTATCAAGAAGTGAAATCAAATAAAAACAAGGTATGGAGGATTTCCTTAGTACTCTGGAGGATATAGTTCTGTAATACACTTAAAAAATACAAATATCGGGTAAAAAATAAAAAAACTTTAAGTATCAAATGAGCTAGGTTTATTATCAACATTTGACTTGTCCCATCTACCATCTTGATTTTATATATATATATGTGTGTGTGTTGTCGTATTCTAACTGCTGCAGAATGACATCACTGTTTGTATATTTCCAGGAAAAAGGGTTTTACATTCCTGTGGTTTAAGGACCCTGAAATTAAAGTGCACTCTGTGGTCATTAATAATGAATGTCCATCGACTGTCAGGGAGCTTAACGAGAAGCGCATTGATTAGGTGTAAATAAGATGGACCTTGGTCTGAGGCCAAATGTTCTTTGTTGCCAAGACAATGTGTCCTTGTGTGTCTGTAACAGATTTTCCAAGGCAACACCAACTATTTCCAGGAAGTACGGAACAACTTTATTCCTCCAATTGAAGCACGGTTTATCAGAATATGTCCCTTCCAGTGGCACCAGAGGATTGCTCTTAAAATGGAGCTGCTGGGCTGCCAGCCGCATGCAGGTGAGACTAATCTGAGAAATCTGTCTCCGATTTGGCCAAGTAGCTGTGCTAAACATGATTGGATCTCTTTCTGTTGGTCAGCGAGGCCAAGAATCTTCCATCCAGCCCCTCCTCCCCCTCGCAGAAAAAGCACAGTGCCCCCTCTGCAGGAGAGGACGACACACACGCCCAACATCCGAAACACCACCATGCCTCCGCACTCTCACGATGGTAAAAGCATTCTTTATTAAGTAAATTAACATATGTGCTAGTGAGCTGCCTTACCCTAAATTTAGGCAATGACATCGACTTTCTGAGGGGTCATTTGTTTAAAAATGCAAGATGCAGGGCTGTCAAATGAAAAAAGGTAATGTTTTTTAAAAGTTGAACTAGTTTGAACTCGAGCACCAGGTTTTTAGAACGCTGTTAAACATGTCCATCTCGCGCATGTTTACATAGAAACAATGGAAAAGCAGCGCAGTGAATGCAAAACGTGTTCTGTGTGAACGGCCTCTCAGGCAACATTCTTAGTAAAATGGAACATCATAAATGACTGATTTAAGATGTTTTATATAGACCGCAAACTCGCTTTTCACACAAAAAGCGCTTCTCATATGAAGTGCACTGATTTACGTTTTACAGTTGATTCCAGTAGTCTCATTTTAGTATGTTGCCAAGTTAAAACTTAAAGTAAACAACAAAAAATACAAACCATGTGCAAAAATTGGGTGAAATTGTCCCTTTTTAATTAGTCATAAGCATAGAGCATGCTTATGATGCCTAAAAATATTGTTAGGTAGGCAGCTCACTCGGGTTTTGAACAGTTCTAACGCTAGATTAATGTTATTAATGTGCTGTGTAAATGTTGCAGAGGTGGCACTGGTGGCAGTGTTGGTCCCTGTATTAGTTCTGGTTCTGACAACCCCGGTGTTAGTGATGGTGTGCTCGTGGCTGTGGAAGAACAGGTCAGTAAAAAAACTAAACGTTTAGGTATCTCAAATTATTTGGTATCTGAATAGTAAAAAAAATCACCAGCCAAAATATTTCAGCCTCCTTTTAAAACCTTGTTGTTCATAATAAGATCAAATTTAACTTGATGCGAGTAGGCCTAAAAGACTACTGGTTTCAGATAATATGTTCATCTGCATTCAAACCTACAGAAAAAGCCCAGAGGTGACTTATGAACTTCCGCACTGGGAACGCACAGGTGCGTCTGTTCTCACTTGTTTTCTCTTATGCATTTTCCCCTACACGAATTATTAAATGTGTGTAAATGTGTGTTTTAGTGTGGTGGAAGAGTATGAAACAGCTGTTGCCCTCTAAGCTGGATGGAGACGACTGTGTTCGTTACAGTTCCACAGCCCGAGTGGACCACCAGAGACCCCGAGTGGAGCCTGCTGGTACACATACAAACAAACTTGTAGATTTATGTTCCCCAACAAACCCTTTAACAATCTATTTTCTGCCTTTCCCATCTGCTTAGAATACGCCCAACCGCTTGTCACCGGTACCATGGCCTCTCTCGGACAAAGGTCAACGTTTAAACCTGAAGAGGGCGATGCCCCCGAGTATGATGCACCTATTCCACCGGAACATTACCATGCTTACGCTGAGCCCCTTCCTGCTTCTGGCACTGAATATGCTACGCCAATCATGATCGACAGGGCAAACCACCTATCAGGAGGCACTCTACCATTCAGGGGCCGTGGTTTAGTGGCTCGGACAGACAGCAGCCAATCAGCAAGCTCAGCCTATGACACACCCAAGAGCACATCTGATAAAGCCACACCCACAGAAGGACAGTTGTACCAAGTACCACAGAATACCCACAATGCACCGTGTCAGAAAATAGACTGAACAATCACAGAAGAGTGGACCCTTTTGGAAACCCTCGGCTGAACACTACCTTTCCTAGAAATCTGCAGATCAGAATGTTCCGCTCCTAGCCATCTCAAATTGTACGCCTCGCAAGTCCTATCACTGAAATAACACAAAGGAATGTCAGGAGAGAGAGAACAGCAGAGATCTCGTTACACTACTGTGTTTGGTGGGTGTTTTGTGTGTTCATGCGTCTAAATGTGTGTGTACGAGTGCATATATGTGACTATGCTCTGCTATCAAACTGTGAGTCTTTAGATATCTGTGCATTTTTCTGAGAGTGGAGATGTATTCATCTCGATCGCTCATTGTAAGGCACATTTTTTCCCCCTTAGGCAAAGATATTTTCATCAAAACCACCCTTGTGCAGAATAACAAATGATCGAATTTCAAATTAATCGACAAACACTCTCATAACACTGTGATTCACTGTCATTTTGCACTGTTGTATTGTATTTTGCTGTTACATAGGTGCCTTCTTTGTGACATAGCAACACATACTGGTTTCTCTACTTCTGTTCCATAACCTAGTGAGTTAACTTGCTTTGTACTGCCTTAATAGTGCAGTATACCAACTTATAGGGAGTAAATTAGATTTCATCATGATACAATTTGACATTGATTCTCCTAGCTAGCAATACAATATGTACTGATGATACCTCATAACATGCTGCAATACATTTACAATTTTATTAGATAAAGGGGCCTGCGATTCAATATTGATATTATATGCCTATTTTAGACAACCAGTTACATATTTTTTATTAACTTACAAATGCAACCAAACCTTTTATTTAACGCTCTAAAATATAAAAATTCTACATCCCAATTGGGACATCCACAACAAAAATACTTATTTTTTAAATAATATAGAAAGATAAATAATGAAAATTATAATTTGCTTATGCAAAGAGATGAGCAATGACAACAGTCAAAGTCTCAGTTTTCTGTGCTCCCAAAATGTGCAAATCCCCATTAGGACATAAACAACAAAATTAGGTACTGAAAAAATATATACTTTTTAGCTTTTAGTCACACAGATTTTTTTTTTAGCTTCAGACTTTAATTGCATCCAGTCAGAGGATATCAAACATGTTTGATATTTTGAGCTGATTTTTATTTTTATTTGTCATGCAATTCCTAGCAGCGAGGCAACTGCTTCTGCTTTTTGAGTTTGTGTTCAGAATGACTCCGTCAATAAGTATATGATGCCTAAAATTTTAATTTGAAAAGCATGTAGTGTATTCCAGCCTTTAGATGTCTTGCTTTATATAGGCAGAAACTCGCCTACTCACAATTTATAGTTTGATGTTAGCATGTTGCTAAGCTAACACCTCAGTACTCTAATAAGCACCAAAATACATTGTACACACAAATATTGATCAAAATATTGCAGTTTTACTTATAATTAACTAGTTTTTATTAATAGATTTCAGTATTGAAAGACATGTGATTATTTAAAATCATCAGAACATTTGTCTCCACTCGTCCGCCATCTTGGATACATTTTTTCATTGATGTCACTGCAGTAAGGCCTGCCACTTGGAGCATGACTGTGATGCCTTAAGATGTTGACTTGGTTTGGAACTCACAAGGTTTTGGAACAGATTTTTGTTGATTTTGAATCATTTAGTTAAGTCTGAATTAATTAAAGAAGGACCGACTGACAAACATTTATTCAGCACAGGAAATGGCAATGCCTTTGTTAAAAATTTTTTAAAAATGGTACAGCAATGGTGCTGGTGCTGCATTTTCAAATTCCATGGAAAAGTTCTCTGTGCATGACTGCGTATACACATTTATGCAGATATATCTTTTTTTTTCATGCACGTGAAAACCTGTGCCATGCAAAGATCCATTTTTTCCTGCTGATGTGTCTTGTTTTAATATTCCCAAACCACTAACAGGTCAAGTTTAAGCTACCAAGCATGCACTGCTTCCACGGTCACACTGTCCTAGTGGATCCTTTACGAAAGGTGACCCTTTAGTGGTCAAAGGTTGAATAGCAAGATACAGGATGCCGACATTCTTGCCTATAATAGGATTCACTCTGTGCCAAGTTGTCTTATATATATATATATATATATATATAATTTTTTTTGGGTTTTTTTTTGTGGTTGACTTGAAGACCAAACAACTTGATGGATAATCAGTCCAAACATATTATCCATTTGATTTAATGTTATCAGACCAAACGTTGCCTCACGCTATGGATTTTGGATACCAGGATGTTGCATGTTCAAACTCAGATTTGTACACTGTTACGTTTGTCATTTACTACAATATCTGACAAGTCATATTTCGGTACTTGCGTTAGTTTACTGGCTTAAAGCAATGAAATGTCCACAGTGGTGGCACTATGGACATGTATGTGTGTTTCAATGTATTTGTGAGTTTAAAAGTATACCAGATTCAGTCGTGTTTGTGCATGTTTGCTTATAGTTTTTGAAATCTTATCAGAGTTGTATGTAATGTGTTTCTGTGCACTGTATCCACAAGCCTGTGTGTGTTCATGTTTGTCTGCCGTTCACTGTACATCTGTCTCTAAATGATGATTGGTACTGTAGATTGATTGTATAGAAAAACAATTTTAAAATTTTAAATTGAAGTTTTATTAAAAAATAAAATGTAATTACAAGAAATTAATTTGGACTGCTGTATTGATGAATCGCTCACTGGCCTTTTAATTTATGCAGCAGTGCTATTTCTCATATTTATTTATTTAGGCTATTAATAGAACACACAATTTAATAATGTGACCTGAGCAGTTGAAATCCCAAAGCACAATATCAAATATGCTTCAAAATATGAATGGGTAGATGACAATATAAGAGAAATATTTCAATTAAAATATATATATAAAAAAGGTCCTATCACAATTTATTTTTCAATATTGTAACAACCCACTTTTTTGGTAGTTCTTGTGACAAATTAATTTAAAAGAATATTCCATGTAGTCCCTCAATTAATATGTCGTCATAATGCATGTGTAATAATAATAAAACACTTCGAAAACACTTATTACAAAGCTCCTGTGATACAAATTTCCCGCAAATATAGCGTCTGACTGAATGACGAATGCGTTATGCCCAACTTTCATACTGACAAAAAAGTCACTTTGTAAACTATTTGGAGTGTTGAAAGCGCATACATACATACGCCAAATGTGTAAACTAATGCATTCTAATTAAAAAATAACACATATTGTATGCTGTATTATAACAAGTAAATGTAGTGTTGAGAAAACACAGGTGGTTTGTTATCGCGTGTTCACATATCAGGATTTCGTATTGTCACAGACGCCCCCTGCTGGTAGTTTCCTGATATACTGCGTACTCATTGAGTACGTACTGTATCCTTTTTTTAATAGTATGTTAAAAATTATGCAATTCTTTCTGGTTAATTAATCACACGGGAAATGGAAAATCAAGTCAAGCGTCCCCTTTGTAAACTGCACTTTTACAAATATTGTGAGGCATGTGTAGGCTACTCACATGCCTCACAATATTTACCTAGAAAGTAAATTTGCATACTATGCACAATATAGTCATTACATAAAGCATAGAGAAGTTAGTAGTATGCTATTTCAAACTTAGATTATGTCAGATGTGAAGAGGCCTCAGTGTAATGATTTTAGACAGCTGTAAATTATAATTATTCATTACTCATTTCCTGTCTGGAAATACAGGCCAGTTTTTACATTTCATCATAATAATACAGTGGGGTTCAAAAGTCCACTTGCAAAAATGTTTGTATTTTGCAATTTTCTACTTTAATACAGATTAATTTGTTCCAATTACAAATTATAAGCATTACAACTTGCATGAAAAGTTTAACTGAAAAATTGCACAGATCACGCACTTAATCTCTATTTTTAATCCCATATTTTCGATGTGTGTTTTTGAATGCCACTGTATATAAAACTATTAATATTATTATTAAACCATACAAAATGGGTTTTGGCCACAAATTTTTTTCCCTCATAATTAGAGAGGATGATATGTACAGTGTATATGCACACTTTAATTGCTTCCAATGCCTATAATGACTTTTATGGGCAATGTTTGTCATTCTTTTCTGATGTACATTTCCTTCTTCCTTTGGCTTATTCCTCCATATTCTTGCCCTCTTTGCCCACTTTCACAAACACCATTGTGAGTACAATAGCTGCCACCAAGATCATTCCACCGGTCACCAGGTACGCTATGGGCAGGAAGTAATTCTGCCCACCAAACCAGGTCACCATGGAGATCACCAGCTCCTTCTGACCTTGAAAGGGCTCGACAGGAAAATCTGAAGGTATTAGTCAAGGTTAAATCTATATAGAAATGAAATGGATACATATAGGCCCGGTTTTACAGACAGGTCTTAGATTAAGCCAGGATTAGGCCTTAGTTCAATTACGACATTTAAGTAGCTTTTATAAACGTGCCTTAGAAAAAAACATGGTGTCAAAACAATGGCACTGACCTATTTTAAGATATGTCAGATATGCAAGTTGCTTTCAGTTAAAACAGCTCAAACTTGCATTTTAGTCTGGGACTATCTTAAACCTTGTCTGCCAAACCAGGGGATAGTGTCTTAAAAGGGATAGTTGGCCCAAACATTTCAATTTACTCATCCTTATGTTGTTCCAAGTCTATATGACTTTCTTTCTTCTGTGGAACATAAATAAGTTATTTTTAGAAATGTAAGAGCATACATAAAATATTTTGTGTTCCGCAGAAGAAAGTAAAGGGATATTTCCCCCAAAAATGAAAATTCTGTCATCATTTACTTACCCCATGTTGTTCCAAACCTGTATGAGTTTCTTGTTGAACACAAGAGATATTTGTTTGATTACCATCATTCTTTAAAATATCTTCTTTTGTGTTCAACAGAAGAAAGACACCCAATACAGGATTGGAACATCCTGAGGGTGAGTAAGTAATGACAAATTTTTCATTTTTGTGTGAACTATCCCTTAAGTCATGGAGGTTTGAAACGACATGAGAGTGAGTAAATGATGACAGAATTTTCATTTTTGGGTGAACTATCCCTTAAAATGAACTAAGGTAAAAACAAATTAACAAAAGCAGACTTCCCATTGTGACCATCCAATTTTGTCAGTGGTGTAATAAGATGTCACCAAACCAAAAGCCTGGCTGCTGCCGAACCATTTCCTTCCATTTACAACCAATTCTGTCCTCCATGAGCAAAGGATACTGTAAATTATAGAGATGCTGTAGTTGCCACTGGGTAGGCCTTGATTGAAAGGCCCTTGAGCACGATTGAGAACCCCATAAAGCTTTTTGAAATTAGGGAAGGCCGCCTCTCTCATCCAAACAATCAGGTCGTCATTTATGAAGCCATTGTTGTTGGAGTCTGTGTCATCCAACTCATAAACCGGACGCTGCCAGTATAAGGGCCGAATCGTGCCTGAGAACAAACAGAGAGACAACAATGAGAAAAACAGACACATGCTCATAACACATGCAGCATATGGCGTGTAGCCTACCTTCAAAGGCTTGTCGGAGTGTGAATGTGTTGTTGGTCGGAGGGTTGCGGAACTTGACATTTTTGTCTGTGTACCAAGCGATACCCTTCCTGTAGAGTGGAACTGGTAGGCCTACTCCTGGCTCATTCGTTGGATAATAAATCACTGTAAATGAATCTAAAATAAAAATAAAATGGTATAAACAAACCACAAGCAGCAAGCAAACTGGCTTATTAGCATACTACTAACATGCGTCTCACCGTTGAACATGCTGTTGGCCACAGCACCACATGGGGCAACGGGTAGTGCTCTGTTTGCATCGTAATCGAACGGAGCGCAGTACGAACTCGGTGCCTACGTGAGCAACAACAACATCTTGGATGTGATAACAGCGCTACTAATGTGAAGCATAGTGAGAGATCAAATAAAGACAGACGTTATTTGAATCAGTGAGTGGGAGGGATGAGGAAAGAGCGTGAAAAAAGGAGTGCAAACAGAAGGGGAGTAAAAGAGACGTCCAGCACCTTCAGGTTGTTCTTCCTCCCCACCATCTGTGCATCATCGCGGGAGTCCATGTACCTCCGCAGGTTCTGATGAAAGTTCCTCAGACCGTAGTAAAAGAATACATCGCCCTGAAGGAGACAGCATGCTATCAGACATAGTACTACATCATGTTGAAAGGAAACACGCTGATGACAAATTATGAGGTTCATATGGTGTCTCGTTTAAATTAGGAATCAGACATTTGTAATATGAATTTAATTTAGGATGTCTTCTCTCTTTTTTTTAAAGTACGGGTTGAATACACTAAAATCGGAAGCACAAAAACTTTACCCCAGAAAGTAATTTGAAAAATTAGACAATGAATTATGTTATTTGAGTTTATGTACATGTCGTTTTACCAGTGGGACTGTTCTAGGCAGAAAATGCTTTAATTCAGCTGGAAACAGTGCATGAAACCAAAGTTAGGTTTACTGGTTTTAAATAGTCATGCCAGGAGTTCAAAAATGGTATATTATTTATAAAATCGGATATAACGTTGTGCAGACAAGGCTAGAGTGATTTTAACACAATAGTATCTTGTTTACATGCATAAAAACTAATGTTGTATTGTGCACACAATTTTCCTTTCATCATTGTTGAAAACAGTTATGCTGCTTAATATTTTTTTCAAAGCCATAATACATGTTTTTTCAGGTTGCTTTGATGAATAGAAAGTTCAGAAGAACATCAATCTTTTGTAACATTTTACATCTTTTCTGTCACTTTTGATCAGTTTAATGTATCCTTGCTGTATACAAGCATTACTTTCCTTAAAAAAAATCTTTAAAACTTTTGAACGGTCAAATCACTTCTTGAACTGACCCACCGAAAAGTTTTTGGGAATGTAGAAGCTGACTGAGCATGTGCAGGCCGTTCTGGTGTGGATGGCATGCTTCCGCATCTCGAAGCATTGTTTACATGTTCCAGCATTAGTGTAATCCACCTATGCAGCAGAAGGAACAACATACGACATGAGTGTACAATGTAACTGTGGTTGGAGTTATGGCAGCACGTACTTCAAAATGTTGTGATGTGGTGCTTGTGTGGTTTGAATCCTATTCACCCCTTTTCTTTCCATCATTTATCAATGTGACCATACTGAGCAATTTTTTTATAGAGGTACCATAATGTAGCAAACCAGATTTTTATGCTTAATAAAAACTGAGTGATGCCCATGCAAATGCTGCTGTCATTTTGTTATATGGTTGCTAAGATGTTCAGGGTGGTTGTTTACTGGCCCAATTTAAAATAGCGCACCCCCAAGGCTATGATATTCTGGTCTGTAGATATGGCTGCCTTAGCAAGCCATGCTAATAACAAACAAGACAACAATCATGGTCATATGTAGTTAGTCAGCTACTTTAATTAAACAACGAAATTGAATGGTTTAATAAGTCCTAATGTAATGACTTTGAATAAAAAAAGTCTAACAATTTGTCTTTTGACCACCAACCTTGAGGAAAAGTTTAATAATTTATTAAAGTACCAATATTTTGAATTGATCAAATGACAAATGTTAGGTCTACATTATGAGTAAATATAGCAAAAGGACTTGACTAATACATGAAGTTACACTACAAGAACACAGTAAATTAATTTGTAGGTTGTGTTGATCTTGTTTCCAGAGGAACACATCCTTCTGGTCTGTTTCCCCACTTCCTGCTGTCTTGCACATTGGCACTTGATAAAAAAAAAAAAACCTCTAACCTTCAGTTCGTGTGTTTTCTGAACAGTGATGAGGAGCCAGACGCCCAGAAACAAGCACACGAGAGAGAGGATGTAGAAAGTTGGCAGCACGGTCTGTGCCGTGAGAGATGGAGACCAGGCGGGTAACCTCTGCTGTTTAAATGCGGAGTTATCCGGACGCCTCGACAATGGCCCTGTACCTGCCTGCTTCTTTCCCATCTCAGATTCTCTACAACTTCACAAAAATAGTAATAATAACACAAATTCAAATAAGAAAGTGTTTCCTTTAACTGCCACCGGAGGAAGTTTTCCCAGTTTCCAAGTATGACTGAACCTTTGAACCTTAAGTGACTGTTACTTATTAACTACAACCATGAACCACCCCACCTTATACACACAGAGCAGTTCTCCCTGTCTTTAGCTCTAACTGTAAACCTCCCCAGCGCTCCACACATTCTTTTCTATCAGAACTGAGTCTCTCCTCATTCCTGGACTGTGCCGTAATGTGTGGGAGCCGCATTTGAATAAATGTGTGTGCGCTTGGTGCCTGAGCATGTGTGTTGTAACAGGATATTGCATTAAGCAAAATATTCAGAATAAAGTATAAACAGTCTAAAACGGGAGGGGCTCCTGATGCACAAGACAAAAAAATGGACAGATTTTTTTTGTCCAATCAGATATTTTTATTTTTAATTGTAAAAAACAAAACAAAAAAACAACACTCACACGTAATGTTTTTTCTCTTGCAGCAGACATATTTCACTAAAATACATTATAATAGCTCTATCAAATACATACTGAGCAAGGAAATGAATATGAACGTGTAAATAACAGAGAACAGACTGTCTGCTCAAAAGAGTCCTATTTTAAATTGTCCTTCCCTGCAGCTCTGAATTAGACCACGGTCCATCATTTTCAGAAAGTCTTCTTTCACCTGAAACACACAAAAAAATATTTTAAGCTATTTTCCCCACAGTTATTAGAATATAGTTAAGTCAGTTAAACCCAAATAAATCCAAATAAGCAACGTTTTCTTTTTCAGATATGCACATTTAAAATGTAGTCTCTTTCCGGGAAAATGCAGCAAAAATATTGATGTTCTTGTTCACACAACTAACAACAGCAAGTAGCAAAACATATTTTTTAATGGCTGTGATGTAAACGAATCCCTTTTGGCTGTGTACTGTCGATATGTACCATTACAGGAAATATGTTGGCAGTAAATAATCTGTATTAAAGGGTTAGTTCACCCAAAAATGAAATTACTGTCATTAATTACTCACCCTCATGTCGTTCCAAACCCGTAAGACCTTTGTTCATCTTCGGAACACAAGTTATGATATTTTGGATGAAATCCGAGAGCTTTCTGACCTCCCATAGATTGCAACATTATTACCACTTTCAAGGCCCAAAAAGATAGTAAAGACATCGTTAAAATAGTCCATGTGACTACAGTGGTTCAACCTTAATGTTATGAAGCGACGAGAATACTTTTTTTTGTGCACAAAAAACAAAAATAATGACTTTACTTAACAATTTAATCTCTTCCGTGTCAGTCTCTGACGCTGTTCACGCGAGCAGTGCACCACTACCTTTCTGGGCCTTGAAAGTGGAAATGAAGTTGCAGTCTATGGAGGGACAGAAAGCTCTCGTATTTCATCAAAAATATCTTAAATTTGTGTTCCAAAGATAAACGGACACTTACGGGTTTGGAACGACATGAGGGTGAGTAATTAATAAGAGAAATTTCATTTTTGGCTGAACTAACCCTTTAAGTGTGTATCAAAATCATCCATAATTTTGGCTAGTTACATTAGATATCAATATTTTATGTATATTTCATCTCTATCTGTATTGTAATTCTTTAAAAAGTATCTTTGTAATGTTGTAACAAACATGTCTGTCCTATCTGAAAAAACAGCATATCAGTGCTACCTCTGGTATATCCACCATTCTCCTGAGCTTCTGGTCTCGGTAGTTCCAATCCAGTACCAGATACCTCAGTCCTTGCACAGTCAAACCCTCTTAAGCACAAAAATCAAGGAGCGAAAAAAGACGTTTCACAAAACTGAAAACCATGCAAGTTGGTTAAAATAACATTTACAAGATGTACAAGACACAAATGTGCATCAAAACAAACCTTTTTCTAACAAGGCAGCAATTCTCCCAGGAGTTCCAACAGCAATATGGGTCACACCTTTACTCAATGCCTTTATCTGGTCATCCACTTTGATGTGTTTCGCGAACAGCTTTAGCACTTTAGCTTGACCTTTAAATGCTATCAGCTGCCTTAAATGCAAAGAGAGAAAAAAGTCTAACACTTGGGAAAACAAACTCTGTATTATTCAAAACAGAACAACTGAAACTCACTTAATGAGATCAATAGTTCTGAGAGCGGATCCGCAAACGATGAGAAACACCACTGACTGGGTCTGGGTGTGCTGCTTCTGGATTTTAGCCCACTTTGGACAAACTGAAACAAAATTTGTTAATATGAAATGTGTTAATACAAACTATTTACATGTATTCATTAAGCAATTAACACAATGGACACAATTAATAAACCCACCTGACTTGCCATTAAAAAATTTGGTGTCAGTAAGAGTTGTTTTGAAAGAAATACTTTTATTCAGGAAGGATAAAAGTAGCATTAAAGCAACACCAAGCAACTTTTCCTCTGCGGTCGCCCTACAGGTTGGAAGCGGAATTGTCCATTACTGCTGTCCTAAATAATTTAGCCTACCGCAGCCTACTGTCGCACGCGCACACACGCACATGCTCTCTGTTTATCCAGCACCGGCTTTGGAATCAACAATGGCCACAGACAAGGTAGAGTATGATGCATGATTTTATGAAAGTGTAGTTGTAGTCTACTGTCGAGTACACTCCACCTATCGGCAATTGTAACGCTTGCCGTAAAGCAAGTCAAATTTTTTGTTTTCTTAGGTCTCATTCGCACTACAGAAACGCGACCCGATCTGGCAATCTTACATAGCGTGGATATATCAGATAAAGGGCCGCAAAGCGGTGGCATAAGTGCATTTCACCATGTCACGACTTGATGAACCACTGAAACGATTTTGAAAACATTATTTTAAGGTAAAAATTCTTACTTAGTGTTGCTTTAAATTGATCAAACGTGACAATAAAAACATTATAATGTTACAAGAGATTTATATTTCAAATAAATTATGTTCTTTAATGATATACTTTTTATTAATCAAAAATCCTGCAAAAAAAATTATGGTTGTCAATATTGATAATAATAATAAATGTTTCTTGAGCAGCATATTAGAATGATTTCTGAAGGATCATGTGACACTGAAGACTGGAGTAATAATGCTGGAAATTCAACTTTGCCATCACAGGAATAAATTACACTTACAATTAAGTTTTTTAATGTAATATTTTTTTCACAATATTACAGCTTTAACTGTATTTTTGATCAGATAAATGCACCTGTGGCGAGCATAACAGACTTCTTTTAAAATCATTAAAAATCCAAAATTTTAAATGGTAATTTCTATTCTGTAATATTCTATTCTGAAATATTTGCTTATTTAAAATGAGTGTGTCAGATGCTCCTGGTTTGAGGTCAATATTTATTTTTGGGTGAACAATCCTTTTATTCTTCAGTTGAACACAACAGAAAATATTTTAAAGAATGTTGATAATCAAACAGTTGACGATAGCCATTGACTTCCATAGTAGGAAAAAAACTATGGAAGTCAATGGCTACCATCAACTGTCTGGTTACCAAATATCTTCTTTTGTGTTCAGAAGAACAGAAGAATAAAAGGATTGTTCACCCAAAAATAAATATTGACCTCAAACCAGGAGCATCTGACACACTCATTTTGAATAAGCAAAGATTTACCCATTACAGAATATAAATTACCATCAAAAGTTTGGATTTTTAATGATTTTAAAAGAAGTCTATGAAAGAAACTTGAGGGTGAGTAAATGATGACAAAATTTTAATTTTTGGGTGAACTCTCCTTTTAAGAAATTGACAGACTGCATAAAAAGACAAACACGGCATATGTATATATGGTGTTTTACCTTCTTTGAGGTAAGAAGACAAGCTATGTGTAAGGTCATTACTGCTGAGGAAACAAGAGTCTGAAACAGAAAAGACAACAAACAAAATCAACCTCCTCATCCAATATCCTGATTCAAACGAAAGCAGACACAAACACGCATTAATCGACTCACCCTTTAGCGTCAGGTCCTCCTGCTCAATAACAGAGCGGGTCAGGCTGAAGTGATTCTTCAGAAGGCTCATAAGGTCAGCTGGAGAGCCCGGCGCAGGTTCAGAGCTTGTCAGGACATCTGTGATAGTTTTCTTCTTCTAAAGACAAAGGAGAATTATGCAACAATAACATGTTTTAAAGCAAATACATCAGTGGCAGAGACAGTGACAAGAAATGGAATGAATGAATTCAGATAAGCGCCGTCCTCTAATATAAATTAAGAGGCAATTATCTTAATTATCATACTAATAATAACCAAGACCTATGAAAACTGAGAAATGAGCTGTCAAATTATGGTCCATTAAACCAAATCATCTCTAGGGTAAGTTTGTACATTTTGTCACTTTTCTATCGAGCATGAAGTGATCAAAAATATTCTAAAGCAGCATATTGAACTGGGCAAAAGAGTTTGACATCTACAATAACATTAACAGACATGTGAATTATAATTCTTACCTTTCTTCTCTTCTTGTTTTTGTTGGACTCCTTATCACCCTTTTCCTCTGATCTCTCCTCTGTGATGAAACATTCTTTCTGCAGGGAAAGACAGTCTTTACTTAAAGATGCCCTGCTTCTGTTTTTGCTCATAAGACCTTTTGTCTCAAAGACATCTCTTTGATGAAAGACTTAAATGCCTGAACCCAAGGAAAAAAAGATTTGCAAAGTCGAGGTTTCTATATTTTTCTAAAGTGCCCATATTATGCTCATGCACAAGTTCATAATTGTATTTTTGAAGAAATCTTCAAAAATAGAATTCTGCTAGAATAAATTTACATGACTTAAAGTTCAAAAAACATTCTTTTTCTCATATTATATATTATTGTAGCACCTCTTTACACCATCTGTCTGAAAAGCTCTGTTTTAGTTCCTTTAAAGCCTGCCTTTCCAAAAAGCCCAGTCTGCAATAGTCTATAATAGGAGCCCTTTAAATAGAAGTTAAATATTTTTAACAGGTTTCTAAAGGAACCCCCACCCCAAAGCCTCATTCCAAACCCACGGCATTGGTTGAGACACACTTGAGCTTTAACAGAGTGCAACAGTGGCCTGGCCACACACTTTTTCAACGTGACAATATAAAAATCTCTTTTCTTTTGAGAGCATGGGGAGATTACATCATTAGCAGTGCTTCATGGATGTGGGCGGTCGCTGCAGAGCTCTTTTGTGTGATTTGCTTGCTGCGATTATGATTGTAGCTTTCTTTGCTGAATCATAGGGTAATGTTTTTCACCAGGAATTCAGCTTGAACGCAAATAATGAACACCGATATAAGGATATGTTAAATTATGTGAAATGATGGCTTCAACAAAAGCATTTACCATCGATTAATTACATCTCAGTAGATCTGTCTTTAATGGTTTATAAGTTATTTTTAAAAATCAATTTCCCTATGAACTGAAAGGGCTTTTTATTTCCGGGACCTGACTGTTGCACACTATTCAGTTAGATTTGTTTTTAGCCTCACAATCTTCACTTTTGTGTGTGTATTACCTTAACAGTTTTCTTCTTTTTCTTGGTGCCGTCTTGAATCTTTTTTTCACCCTTCCTTTTCTTTGATGTGGATTTATTTGATTGTTCTTCTGTAAGTGGCTGTGTGTCCTCCTCTTGAATCTGTTTATCACCCTTCCTTTTCTTTGATATAGATTTAATTGGTTGTTCTTCTGTAAGTGACTGTGTGTCCTCCTCTACCTCTGACACACCTCAATGGGACAAAGTTTGCACATAAACGAAATGTCATAATGAACGTTAATAACCGAATTAATAATAATAATAAAAAAGCTCAAATACAAACAGTACTACAATACTACAATTGTTTACATGGGAGAAAACTACATATCCCAAGATGCACCGCAGACAGGGCAAACACGTGTTTTGCGCAGTCTGAATCTAGTAAGAAATGTTAAGCCATAGATCCGCCAATATGAGGCTAACCAAGTTCCAACTGATGCTCGTTTATTGACAGAAGTTTCATGTAAGTTACAAAATAATTATTAACGATAAAACAGAACCTTGTTAGGCAGAAGTTTCTAGAGCACTAGTGTGCCCTGGAACAGCAGGCTGTTTAAAACCGACACGCGCAGAGCATAAATACATGACACACACACATTACAGCGCGAAGTATAGTTCAAATAAACAAAAAAAAAACTATGTGTTTTACCTAAATTGTCTCCCTGGGTCCACCACTCGTCTCCCAAATCATCAGCCATGTCTCAAACCGCAATCGCATGTCTGGAGTTTGCGCACGGCAGATTCGCATAGTACAAAAATTGCGCGAATCTACCCGGTAAAAACAAGACTATATTATCTAAAATAAATAATACTCAAATAAATGTATTTTACAATAAGACTTATATAATTGTAAGCAGAAAGACCATTCGAGTATACAAAAAATATACGTTGTTTTCTATTGTTCTTTAGTTACTTGTTTGATTATTGAGGTTTATTTGTAATCTAAAAATCATGCTAAAAATATATTGTAACCTAAACATATATTTAGGTTTTCATGTGGTTTCATTATGCGGTATTCAGATTAACTAAGTCTGGACCACTAGGCGGCGCTGAGTCCTATACAATTATGTAATTATCACTCTGCAGGGTGTTTACCGTGTGAATGTTGGACCGGGACGGAGAATTTGAGATGTGTGTGTGTGTGCTCGTTTGTTCCACTTTCCACCACACTTGTTTGACTGGTCATAACTCTGATAATTTATCCTTCCTCATTCCGAGCTCGCGCCTCTCTACCCCTCCATGCGCGCACGCATAGACACACACAAGAACGCGCAAGCAATTATTTATTCATCACAAACATGAATTAAAAATCTCTGTTTCCCTTCAGCGTACAGCACTGAAGGAAACTTCACAGGCTGTTCATCTAACACAGAGATCACTTGTGGTTATCCAAAGATGGAAAAGATTTTGTAGAGAAATTCTCTAAAGCCATATCTAATTATTCAAGAGCAGTTGGCAACTGAGAGAAGAAGGGTGCCTAGTTTGCTTTAATGCTGTTGTCCCAAATACTGGTGAAAATTCTCAGAATTTTACAGTCAAGACCAAGTTAATTTTATGAACTGTTTTTCAGCTTTTTTAATGTGATAAAATTAAGATTGCAATTCCAACTCGAGGAGGACTATTTTAGTCTTACAACCTTTAAACACACACACACACACACACAAAGGAAGAGAGAAATAGGCTCAACGTTGTAATTTTCCCCTAATTGCAACCATTCTCTTCTTTCTTTCTTTCTTTCTTTCTTTCTTTCTTTCTTTCTTTCTTTCTTTCTTTCTTTCTTCTTGAGTGATCCTTAGTAACAAGTAGGTTCTCGTCATGGCAACATGCCTTGAAATAGACTGTGAAGCTGCATTGGTTTCAAGCCGCGGTGGTCAAAAGACTGATGGAGTGTGGAATGCGTTCTCTGCATTATGGGATTCATTGTTTCAGTAGATTTTCTGTGTTATTAAGAGCTATCCTTTGGGTAACAACAACACTTTAGACCCACGGGGATGCAATGGAGTAATCCAGCAATCAAATAAATTCTTAAAACAGAGTGCAGATTATAGTCACTGGCATGTTACATTTTGTAATTTAGCTAACGCTTTGATCCAAACTGACTTGCAGTACCAACCTTATTACAGGCCAGTCCCTCTGGAGTTACCTGAGGTTGAGTGCTTTGATCAAGAGCACAATACTGTAGTTCATATCACCCTATTGTGGATTTTGAACGTCCATGATTCATTTAAACACTGGTTTTCAGTAACCTGCTCTTGCTTATGTGATGTTGCTTTCCCTATATGTTAACTACATGTTAATATTGTGTGACATTTCAGACATAATATGGCCAGTTATATATTTTTATGTTTGCTCCGCTAATGAAAATAGTCTCAAAAGAAGCCAGAGCAAGATCTGGCTTCTTTGTATGTAAATGACTTGCCAAATGTTTGTCCTAATGCCAACACCCAAATGTATGCAGATGACACAGTAATCTTTGTACATGCTAACAGTGCTGCTGATCTGCTATCAAACTCGATGCAAAAGATTACAGAAAGGGTAAATCACAATTGCCTTCAACTGAATGTATCCAAAACTGTATGTATATTTTTTAGTAAATCTAAAAGCCGCTGTGCAGAACCGGGTGTAAAATTTTAGAATTTTAGAATCTGAATTTTCAGATTTTAAATACCTTGGAGTATACATCGATAACAATCTTACTTTTAAATCACACATTAAGAAGGTTTTTAATCACATTAAGTACAACCTGGCAAATTTTAGATATGTCCGTAGCTGCATGTCAAAAAGGGCCGCTATGATGTTCATGCACTCAATGATTTTTTCCCATATCACCTATTGTTTGACAACCTGGTCACAAGCTAGTAACACTTCTCTCAAACCACTACTCTCCCTATATAAAAAAACTATTAAAGTACTTGATAGGAAATCCATATACTGTTTTAAAAATATATAATCTTTTAAGTTTCGAAAACTTGATTATATATACAGATCTCTGTCTTATGTACAACATTTTACATGGACTTGAGTGCACTTGGTCAAACAGCTTTTTCAGTCAGGGCATTTTAAAACTTACGCTTCTTTTAAATTTAACTTAAAGAAGTGGCTAACAGGTAGTCAGGACTGTCAACATAACATTAGACATGATATCTTGCTGCTACCCTGTCTTCTCTGTCCTGCCTGTTTGTTTGTGCTTCTTGTGCTATGCCGATGAGGTTGTCAGGCTCATTTGTGTTTAGATAGGTTAAACTTCTGTTGTTCGTCATATTGTTTTTTTTTTGTGCATGTCCAAAAAATGTTTGTTATATGGTCTGACAATTTGGCTTGTGTATGTATGTGTGTGTTGGTGTTGTTGTTGATATTGACCAATTGTTCTATTTTATATGTTGGTTTAGTATTTTTTTCTACATTCATATTAACCTGTATGTACTATTTCTATCCTTTTATTTTTTTAGGTGTGACATATTAAGATCTGTCCAGGGACAGCAGATGTAAAATAGCATTTTGGCTAATTCTGGCACACTATACATTTATTTATGTATTATTAGTGTGCATTGTCCCTGTTAAATAAACCTGAAATAAATATATCAAGTGTTGGAATACTATGCAGCTGCATTCTATAGTGAAACAATTCCAGTGTATTGTTCAAGAAACATTTCTTATTATTATCAAAACTTGAGCTGTTTAATATTGTGAAAACCGTGATAAATTGTTTCTGGATTGTGTACTAGTGTACTATATTTATATATATATATCCCCCTAAGTTCATGCATGGCAGCAGAAAGGATCTCATTAACACTCAAGAACTAAGAAGAAAGCCATGTACTTCTGGGGGGTCCTGCGCCAGCTGAGAAAGTGCCGTTGAGATGAATGGGAAAGCAGATAACTTTTTATATTATAGACTTCCTTAATTGTAACTTAATTCAAAATTTTATATGATAATAAAATAAGTTGGCCTTTATATTGATGTAGGACAACTTGTTGTCCTGTTGCCTTCATGAAACTGAACCTCAGTTACCAGTTAAAAACAAAAATTTACCTGAATAAGCCTATAGTTTTTTTTTCATAAAATGCAAGATAGTCAGTGGGCTCTAATGTTGTTTGGTTCCCAACGTTCCGCAGAATGTCTTCATTTTTGTTCCACAGGTTTGGAACGTACAGTAAACGTGAGAAAATGATGACAGAATTGCCTTAAATTAATGCATTGTTTAAATTAATATATTGTTAGCTAACTGCTTGATTTGTATATGCACATTTCTGAAATGCATAACTTGGACACAGTCACCTCTGATAACAGATCACTATAAATTGCAATGTAGACACATCGTTTTAAAGCAGCTTTACAGAAAATGCATTATAAAGCACTATACAAATAACACAACGTTTACACAACACTGTTTTCAACTAAAAACTGAAACTTTGAATGCGTTTTTGGCCATTCACTTACACAATAACAGCGTTTTGACCATTCATTTACACAATAACAGCGTTTTGGGGGCCTGTCGGCCTGAAAATGCAAACTTTTAAAAACTGGTTTCATAGTGCAAGTTTTTGAAAACGATACCATTATTGTCTTTGTGTAAACGACAAAAACACGAATTTGTGAAAACGGTGATGTCATGAGCATGTTTTTCTTTACAAAGTGACATCGGCAACTACTGGTTTTGCTTGCATAATACCGCGTTATTAGTCGTTTACGCAGATCCGTGTGAACAGGGATTGTTTTGACAACGTTGTCGTCTGTACGTGAAAAACGCAAAGGAAAAACTTTTCTGTTTTTAGTTGTGTAAACGTACCCTAAGAATGCAATGAATTGTCCAGCTCCATTCCTCTAATATTGACTATTCTGTGCCCCAAGCAGGCCCTTCCCTCAATCCAGGCATATCATTCAGTACATCCCATACGGCACCAATCTGTGGTTGAGTATGGGTTCAGTATGCATAACAAGTAAGACTCCCAGTGTGGATGCGAACTTTACATTGCAGTGGCCTATTTAATATCAGCATGGCATATGATGCATCTCTTATATATGTGCACCATATGTAACATAACAAGAGACAGGGCTGTTAGGTTGGCTGGAAGTTGCAAGAGGTTGAGAAATAACAGGAATAGGTCATGCCAGAGTTTCTAACAGAGCTTTGAGAGCCCCAATTTGAGCAGCACAAAAGAATGAGGTTTATGTTCAGAGCTGAGAGTCCTTACTCAAACGCACTGCTGACAAATCCAGGTCAGAGCTTCTCTCTTGGAAATGATAAGAGTTTACTGTGGCTATGAGATTTAAATGCTGCAGAAAAGTACGAAACAACTGGCACAATTAATTTCACGAGGTGCAGAATCTCTTTTGCATTTTTTGAATTGTCATTGTCACCGTTTGCCCTCCTTCCTATGATGATGATTTGAAGATTAGAGGGCAATTTGCCGGGTCCCCATCTGAAAGAAGAAAGGTGATTTAATTCGGCTTTGAAAGGCAACAATCTAATCTCTCTCTTTCTAATCATTCTCGCTTATTTTGCTCTTCCTTTTTTCTGAGAATTTGACCTCTCTATTGTGTCGAGGCAGTGTGCACCGATACACACGCAAACACACACTCAAACACATCTGTAATATAGACTGTGTGGGAGCTCAAATGGTGGCAATTTGTGCGGCTATAAGCGATTGGTTGACATGGAGGTGCTGATTATGGGGTATAAGTGTTAGGTTCCGATGGACCCATCCACATTGATGCCCTGATTATGGATAATTTACCCCTACTGTGGCAGCATGGGACTC